AAAAAAATGAAATTAGACTCAGATCTTAAGCTCGAGTTAGGTGTATTATTAGTCTATTTTAGTATCTATGTTTCAAATTGAAACACCAAAATCAGAACTTGAATTTATTTGTGTATATAATTTCAATATATCATTTGGATTAATATTGAGATCTTTATGAATGTGAGCAGCATTGAGTCTTTTTAGCCTGTTTTGTTTCATTGTAGAATGACAATAATTTTTAATTCTCGATAAAATCGAATTCATGTTCACCTATACCTATAAACTAAAATACAAGAAGCAAAGAGTGCATGTGTGCTTCAAACGGAAGAAAAAAATACACTTACAATTTAACTCATAAATAAATAAACAATTTCGATGGACGAAAGCTTAGTAATAAAAATTACAATGGGCAATTCCCCATTTGCCCCCCCCCCCCTCGCTACACCACTGGTATGAATATATTCTCTTTCTCGTAGAGAAGAGTCCAGTAAACATAAATTGCTTGCTTGTATGTCCGCAGGGTCAAAAAAACATTGAAAATCGATTTTTCCAGTAAATATGAAGAGGATACATTTCTACGAGAAAGAGCGTTACTTGTTACTATTATCTAATGTTTAAAAAGTATGATGTATAATAAAATTTTAGGGCGGGCGTTGATCCTGTTGTATTATTCGATGCTAAAGTACAAAAAAAAGTTACTGATCGTGCAACAGATATTGAAGTATTATTATATTTTGTTGTTGTCTGGAAATATTTTTTTCTTCGTTCATTTTTAGAAAACTCTTAAACGTGAAGTAATGAAATGTCAAACATTAATTATATGGACTGATTGTGATCGTGAAGGAGAAAATATCGGATATGAAATCATTGATTTATGTCGACCATTAAAAGCGGGTTTAAAAATTTATCGAGCACGTTTTTCAGAAATAACATATAATAGTGCGGCACGTGCTTTATCGAATTTAATTCAACCCGATCAACGTGTTAGTCAAGCTGTTGATGTTCGTCAAGAACTTGATTTACGTATTGGTGCTGCATTTACACGTTTTCAAACATTACGTTTACAACGTTTATTTGGTTTCGATTCCAAACAAGTGATAAGTTATGGTTCATGTCAATTTCCAACATTAGGTTTCGTTGTTGAACGTTATTTACAACGAGAAAATTTTATACGTGAACCAT